TTTTAAGACAGGGTTCACCATGTTGGCCAGGCTGGTCTTGAACTCCTGACCTCAAGTGATCTGCCCACCTTGGCCTCCCAAAGTGCTGAGATTACAGGTGTGAGCCACCATGCCTGGGTGGGTTTTGTTTTTTCATCCATTCAGCCAGTCTGTGTCTTCTGATTGGAGAGTTTAGTTCATTTACATTCATCATTATTATTGATAAATAAGGACTTACTCCTGCCATTTTGTTATTTGCTTTCTGGTTGTTTAGTGGTCTTCTCTTCCTCTTTTCTTTTCTTCTCGTCTTCCTCTAGTGAAGGTGATTTTCTCTGGTGATAAGACTTAGTGTCTATTTTTTTTGTATCCATTTTTTTTTTTGGTTTAAGGTTACCACGAAGCTTGTAAATACTATCTTATACTATCTTATTTTGAACTGATAATTCCATTTGCATAAATAAGCAAAAAGAAAATTGAAACTCTACAACTCACCTTTTAACTTTTAGTTGTTTCTATCTTACTGTACTATGTCTTGAAAAATTACATTTATTATTTTTGAGTGGTTCACTGTTGAGTCTTTCTACTTAGGATAAGAGTAGTTTATGGGCCAGGCACGGTGGCTCATGCCTGTAATCCCAGAACTTTAGGAGGCTGAGGAGGGTGGATCACGAGGTCAGGAGATTGAGATGATCCTGGCCAACATGGTGAAACCCTGTCTCTACTAAAAATACAAAAATTAGCTGGGCCTGGTGGCACCTCCTTGTATTCCCAGCTACTCAGGAGGCTGAGGCAGGAGAATCGCTTGAACCAGAGAGTCAGAGGTTGCGGTAAACCGAGATTGCACCACTGCACTCCGGCCTGGCGACAGAGCAAGACTCTAAGAAAAAAAAAAAAAAAGTGGTTTACATACCACAGTTACAAATGTTATAATATTCTCTATTTTCCTCTTTACTGTTACTAGTGAATTATGAACCTTCAGGTAGTTATTTATTGCTCATTAATGTCCTTTTGTTTCTTATTGAAGTATTCCCTTTAGCATTTCTTGTAGGACTGGTCTGGTATTGATGAAATCCCTTAGCTTTTGTTTATCTGGGAAAGCCTTTAATTTTCCTTCATGTTTGAAGGACATTTTCACTAGATATACTATTCTAGGGTAAAAGTATTTTCCTTCAGCACTTTAAATATGTATTGCCAATCTCTCCTGACCCTCGAGATTTCCACTGAAAAGTCTGCAGTCAGATGTATTGGAGCTCCATTGTATGTTATTTGTTTCTTTTATCTTGCTGCTTTTTAGGATCCTTTCTTTATCCTTGAGCTTTGGGAGTTTGATTATTAAATGCCTTTAGGTAGTCTTCTTTGGGTTAAATCTGCTTGGTGTTCTATAACCTTCTTGTACTTGGATACAGATATCTCTCTAGTTTGGGAAATTCTCTATTATCACTTTGAATAAATTTTCTACTACCTTTTTTTTCTGCCTCCTCTTTAAGGCCAGTAAGTCTTAGATTTGTCCTTTTGAGGCTATCTTCTAGATTCTATAAGTGTGTTCATTTCTTATTCTTTTTTCTTTAGTCTTCTGACTGTGTATTTCCAAATAGGCTGTCGTCAGGCTCACTAATTCTTTCTTGTTTGATCAGTTCTGCTATTAAAGGAGTCTGGTGCATTCTTCAATAAGCCAGTGGCATTTTTCAGCTCCAGAATTTCTGCTTGACTTTTAGTTATTTCAATATCTATGTTAAATTTATCTGATAGAATTCTGAATTCCTTTTCTGTATTATCTTGAATTTCTTTGAGTTTCCTCAACACATCTATTTTGAATTCTGTCTCAAAGGTCACATATCTCTTTCTCTAGGATTGGTCCTTGGTGCCTTATTTAGTTCATTTGGTGAGGTTATGTTTTCCTGGATGGTGTTGATGCTCGTAGATGTTCTTTGGTGCCTGGGCATTGAAGGGTTGGGTATTTATTGTAGTCTTCACTGTCCTGGCATATTTCTAGCTGTCCTTCTTAGGGAAGGCTTTCCAGATATCTAAGCTATATCTGCTTTAGGGAGCACTCCAAACTCAGTAATGCTATGGTTCTTGCACAGGCATAGAGGCACTGCCTTGATGGTCTTGGACAAAATCTGGGAGAATTCTCTGGTAGATACACTTGATCTCTTTCCTTATAATCTCTCAAACATAGTTTTTTTCTCTCTCTGTTCTGAGTTACTCAGGGCTGAGGGTGGAATGACACCAGCACCCCTGTGGCCACCATCATGATGACTGCACTGGGTCAGACCTGAAGCCAGCACTGTGTGTTGCCAAAGGCCTGCTATAACCACTCCCTGGCTACTGCCTATTTCACTCACCACCCCTGGGGCTCTACAATCAGATGGCAAAGCTAGCCAGGCCTGTGTCCTTCCTTTCAGGGTGCCAAGGTCCCCCAAGCCCCAGGTGAGTCCAGAAGTGCCATCTGGTAGTCAGGGATTACAGTAAAAAAACCTTAGAAGCCTACGTTGTGTCCTATTGTATTGTGGCTTGGCTGAGCTGGCACTCAAACCATACAAGTCCTTTCCTGGAAAGGCAGAGGAACCTCCCCCCATAGCCACCACCCTAAGCCACAAGGATTTCTGTCAGAGTACTGCTGATGTTCCCTTAGGGCCAAAGGTCTCTTAAGTCAGCTTGTCATGAATGCTGCCTCTTCAGGGAAGTGGGCTCCCCTCTAGCCCAGGACAGGTCCAGAAATGCCATCAGAGTCAAATTCTAGACCCAAGAGCTTGCTTGTTGCTCTGTCCCTCTGTGGCCATGCTGGTGCCTAAGGTACAAGACAAAGTCCCCTTACTTTTCCCTCTGCTTTTCCCAAGCACAAGTTTTGCTCTGTAGCCATTACAGCTGGTTATGTGCCGAGTCTCACCTGAAGCCAGCAAGTCTCAGAGGCCCACTCAAGGCCCTTGATGTAGTACCTGGATATTGCTGCTGGTTATTCAGGGTCCAAGGGCTCTTCAGTTAACAGATGATGCAGGACTGGGTCCTTTCCTTCAAGGCAGCAGGTTCCCTTCTGGCCCAAGATGTGTCTAGAAATGTCTGGGAGCTAGGCCCTGTAACAGGAGCCTCCTGATTCTGACCAGTGCCTTCTCCTGCTATGGCTGGGCTGGTATCCAAGATGTAAGACACAGCCCACCCCGATTCTGTGTCCTACCTCAAGTCGAAGGGGTCTCTTCTGGAGGTGAGAGCTGTGCAGCCTGCGGTTAAGGGAGGGCTGATGCCATATGTCACCGCTCCTCCCTGTCCCCTGTCAGTTCAGTGTCTCTGGGCCTAATTCAGCACTAGGACTGGCCTAAGAATTGCAGTCCTTATGGCCTAGACGGCCTTTCAACTTTACTTAGACAGAAGCTGCAGCCCTCAGCAATGAGGTTTGCAGGCACTTAAGTTCAGACCACTGGGATCAGCAGTTCCCCTCTGGCTGAGGCTGGTTTAAATGCTCCCTCCATGCGCAGGTATCAGCTGAATTTGGTCTGGTTTTCTTTCCTTTCTGCTCTAATAGGACAGCACTGAGTTGAGTGCCTCACAATTGCTGTGTTCTCCCTCCTACAGCACCTAGAGATGCTCTCTGCATTGTGCCGCTGCCACCGGGGGTGGGAGAGGAGTACTGTCGGCAATTCAGGACTATTTTTTAAATCACTTCAGTGCCTCTTTCAGTGATATGAAGTCAAAACCAGGTACTATACAAGTGCTTACCTGATTTTTGGTTTGTATGAAAGTGGTGTTTCTTTTTCCTGTGTAGATAGTTGTTAATTTGGTGTCTTTGCAAGGGATGATCGGGGAGCCTTCTATTCTGCCATCTTGCTCTGCTCCCTCTCTATAGTTTAAATATTTGAGGTATGTTAGGCAAGGTCCCATCTTCTTCAGAAAGCTAGACTGTTTTTGTCCATTATTCCTGTAACATTTTGAATGTATATCACTACACACCTCAGAATGGTTAAACTCTAAAATACTGACACCACCAAATGCTTCCAAAGATGCAGAACAAAGGAACATTCATTTCTGTGGTAATTCAAATGGCAGAGGTTGCAGTGAGCTGAGATTGCACCACTGCACTGCAGCCTGGGTGACAGAGCAAGACGCTGTCTCAAAAAAAAAAATCACACAGTGATCTCATTTCACACAAACTAGATAGACAAAAATATATTATTCCACATGATTGACAACATTGGAATTATCTACACGTGCAAGAATGGTGGGAGGGTCAGTTCATATACTTCATTGGAACTTATACTTCATTGGCAATCTTAACGTTGCTCAGAATCTAACACAGCAAGTTTTCTCTAATGTATAGAGAATTTACTATGCATAGGCACTTGGGGACTTAAAGTATGATTAAAGCAGCATTTTCCATGGGAACAAAACACAGCAGCCAGGCATGGTGGCTCATGACTGTAATCCCAGAACTTTGGGAGGACGAGGCAGGCGGATCACCTGAGGTCGGGAGTTTGAGACCAGGTGACCAACATGGAGAAACCCTGTTTCTATTAAAAAAACAAAATTAGCTGGACGTTGTGCAAGCCCGTAATCTCAGCTACTCAGGAGGCTAAGGCAGGAGAATTGCTTGAACCCGGAAGGTGGAGGTTGTGGTGAGCTGAGATGGTGCCACTGCACTCCAGCCTGGGCGACAGGGCGAAACTGCCTCAAAACAACAACAAAAAAAAGCATGCACACAAAAACCAACTAGAAAGGTTAAGCAAATTGGGTAGCTCAAGCTTCAGACACCAGCATGTGTTGAAACAACTGGAGATACACCTATCCATTATTTCCTTTCATAGAAAGTGCAAAAGAGGCAAACCTAAGCAAAACATTGGTGATAAAATAATGGCATAGCTATAAAGAATATCCACAGTCCTCACCTCTGGAGACAGGAGGAAAACAAAGTCAAGGTGAAGCAGCACTGGAGATAGGATATACCCAAGGTCTGTTCATTCTGTGAGTGCCCAGGCTACAGAATCGTATAATTTTATAGTTAGGATTAAACATAAAATTCTATGTGTTATTTTTTATGTGTGTTAGACGGAGTTTAACTCTGTTGCCCAGGCTGGAGTGTAGTGGCGTGGTCTCGGCTTACTGCAAGCTTGGCCTCCCGGGTTCAAGTGATTCTCCTGCCTCAGCCTCCCAAGTAGCTAGGATTAAGGGCATGCACCACCACACCTGGCTAACTTTGTATTTTTAGTAAAGACGGGGTTTGTCCATGTTGGTCAGGCTGGTCTTGAAATCACAACCGCAGATGATCTGCCCGCCTCGGCCTCCCAAAGTGCTTGGATTACAGGCATGAGTCACTGTACCCAGCCAGTATGCTATATTTCACTACAAAAATATAATTCAGCTGGGTGTGTTGGCTCATGCCAAGGCAAGACATTCACTTGAGGCTAGGAGTTCGAGAACAATCTGGGCAACATAGTAAGACCCCTATCTCTACCAATAAAATAAAATGTCATTTTTAAATATAAATATATAATTCTTTAAGCATGAAAAATCATTATTTTTTTTTGAGACGACAGAGTCTCACGTTGTTGCCTGGGCTGGAGTGCAGTGGTACAATCTTGGCTCACTATAACCTCTGCCTCCCAGGTGCAAGCCATTCTCCTACCTCAGCCTCCTGAGTAGCTGGGATTACAGGTGCCCACCACCATACCTGGCTAATTTTTTGTATTTTTAGTAGAGATGGGGTTTCACTATGTTGGCCAGGCTGGTCTCGAACTCTTGATCTCATGATCCGCTTGCCTCAGCCTCCCTAAGTGCTGTTATTACATGTGTAAGCCACCACGCCTGGCCAATAATTTTCAAATATTTATTTTGCCATGTTTTCTAACTACCTCCCCAGTTCTTATTTCACTGCCTTAGTTCAGTGCAGATTTTTAAGTCTTTTAGACTGCACCTATTGCTATTCACCTTGATTTCAGCAAGCAATGACTAGTAAAAGAATGGAAACATACTCAATGTTTATTTAGAGAGAACTGGCTACATAAACTTCCATCTTTTAAAAAATATATTTATTAAAAAAAATATTTTAGGGGAGACAGGTTATCTCTGTTGCCCACACTGGAAGTATAGTAGCACATAGTTCACTGCAGCCTTGAACTCCTGGGTTCAAGTGATCCTCCCACCTCAGCCTCCCAAGTAGCTGAGACTACAGGCATGTGAGCCGCCACAACTGGCTCAACTTCATCATCTTGGGAACCTTTATAAGAATTAGGGAAGGCACCAGTGGATATGAAAAAAGCTGCAGGATTTATTTTCAAATGAACAAAAAAGCAAAGTCTGTAAACCATGTTGCCTTTTATAGCGATAGAAGAAAAATATGTAGTTTAAATTGCTTTTTATGTGAATGCTGAACAGACAAGAAAAAATTGTTATCTTTGGGAACTTGAGGCCACTAGACACGAATGCTAGAGGACATGCTAAGAGTGAGCCTTCAGGTAGACTACTTCTAAATCTCAGGCTGAGGTGTGTGTATGTATAGAGACAAGATCTTGCCATGTTTCCCAGGCTGGTCTAGAACTCCTGGCCTCAAACAATCCTTTGGCCTTGGCCTCCCAAACATATATGAGTCACTGTGCCCAGCCTCAGGTTGAATTTTTGAATCCTGACATTCACTATAAACAATTATTAAAGAAAATTTGCATTAACTATATATATATATTTTTTTGAGATGGAGTTTCGCTCTTGTTACCCAGGCTGGAGTGCAATGGCGCGATCTCGGCTCACTGCAACCTCTGCCTCCTGGGTTCAGGCAATTCTCCTGCCTCAGCCCCCTGAGTAGCTGGGATTACAGGCACGCACCACCATGCCCAGCTAATTTTTTGTATTTTTAGTAGAGACAGGGTTTCACCATGTTGACCAGGATGGTCTTGATCTCTTGACCTCGTGATCCACCCGCCTCGGCCTCCCAAAGTGCTGGGATTACAGGCTTGAGCCACCGCGCCCGGCCAGCATTAACTATATTTTAATAGCTCATAAATCAAATGACTTTTAACAGGAAACCAGTTATCTGTTACAGTCCTCTAAAGAAGTAGTTTTGTAAAGTGAGAAATACGTTTTTACAAACCATAAAAAATTGTTTTGCACATAAAGATGGGAGCAATGGACACTGGCGACTGCTGGAGCGGGGAGGGGTGGTGGAGAGTGAGGGCTGAGGGACTGCCTGTTGGGTGCTGTGCTCACTGCCAGGATGACCGGATCACCCATAGCCCAAACCTCAGTGTCACAGTGTTCCCATGTGATAGAACTGTACCTGTACCCCTTGAATCTAAAATGAAATTAAGAAATAGAAATGTGTATTTTTGTGATATGATTCCTGATGTTCATAAGATGTGGATTTGTGTATTCCATCCCAGGAATCTTTAAAAAGTAAATGTTAACAAAAAATTTTTTTATCACTTGAGCTCAGTGATTCAAGACCACCC